ACAGATTCTGACACAGTGGGATCTCATTGAATGCATGAGATGAAGGGAGAGGAAAAAAAAGCCACAAACAAACCCAGGGCCAAAAAAAAAACAAAATCAGAAAACAAACTCAGGATGGAGTGAAGGTTGGTAAAAGAGAGACCAGGAGAACAACAACAACAACAAATATATTTGACGACCTCAAATACATTGGTTAAAAAGAAGAGAATAGAGAAAAACATCTATTAACATTAAAGACAGAGCATGAAATTAATGACGTGTCTTAATTGACTGCGACTCTGTACTTTTTTTTAAATGCCTGAAACAAAGAAAAGAAGTTTTTGACAATTAGGAAGCCCTGAGATCCTTCAAATCCAGATGACTGTTCTTTCCTCACCACAGGGTTTAACAAGACAGAAGCGAGTCCTATCCCTTCCTCCAGGGCTTGTGTGTGACAGAAACTGAAATCAGGTCCCTTCTTTTTTTTCCCCCTTCATCTCTGAGGATGGTATTTTCACTGGAAAAGTCTTCATTAATGGTAAAAGAAAAAACAAAAAGCCCACAAAAAATACTGTTCCAGTTGCTGTAATATTTGAAATGGCTTATTTTTTAAAGTAGGTAACAATAAAGATTTCCACCACAGAAGAGAAATCCTCTCTGTCAACTAGTACCATTATCACCCAAAAGCCTCAGTGGAAGAGATCATTTCTCCAGGGCGCATTCTTAGAATGATAGCTCACGTTTCAATAGCACTGTAGGGTTTACAAAGCACTTTACTCAAAACCAGCCTCAAAGTGATAATAGCCAGAATTTATATAGCACTTGGTGATTTGCAAAGTGCTTTACAAATATTATCTCATTTGATCCTCCCAACCCTGGAAAGTAAGTGCTATTATTATTTCCATTTTATGGATGAGGAAACTGAGTTAGATAGAGGTTAAATGACTTACTCATGGGTTTCAAGATAGTAAGTGTTTGAGATTGGATTTGAACTAATATCTTCCTGACACCAGACTCAGTGTTCTATCCATTGAACCAACCAGATTGTAAATCCATCCATCTCTCCATCCATCTCTCCATCTATCCATCCATGCATCTATGCATCCATCTGTCCTTAAAAACTTAAAGATCTACTAAGTGCCAGATGCTGAAGATACAAATACAATTAATGAAATAATCTAGACTTTCAAGGAGTTTGCATTCTAACATTTACTGTGACCCCCCACTTTAAAGATGCGGAACCAAATCTCAGAGGAATTAACTGACAAGTTCAAGGTTATGTGACTGATAAATGTCAGAGCAGGGTTTTGAATGTAAGTCTCCTAAATCCATGTGCAAGGCTCTTTTCTGACACACCATATCTGTAAGACCTTGCCATAGAACCTCAGACTTAGAGATATTTATTGCTAGGTACTAGAATTGTCCCCCTCCCAAACCCATCTCTTATATTTTGAAATGCTGGCCAAATGTGAGTATCGTCCTTGAGGCAATGTGGTGAGGGCATTGGCCTTCATATCAAGGCAGCTAATTCTGGTCCTGGTTATGCTGCTGATTTGCTACATGACTTTGAGCTAATCACTTCATTTCTCTGGCCTCATCTGTAAAATGAAGGGATTGAATTAGTTGGTACCTTTCATGCTCTAGGTGGAGAAATTCTTCATTTCCAGTAATTGATTTTATGTCTGAAAGTCCAATCAATTTGAAAGAGATAGTCACACTCTTTCCAAGGAAGAGATACTGGGAGGCAGGTCCTTCAGCACCCATATACCTATTCCAGCAGCATTGAGAAGTTCATATGAGACTGAATAAGCATCAAGAAATCCAATGAGCCCCGATACTAAGTGACTTCTTCCTTTCTAGAACTGCATATGCAAAATCAGCAACGAAGGCTACCTCCACAAAACCTCACCCCCATCCCCAGCAAGTACCAGGGCAGAGTAACCTCACAACTTGACTAGATAAATCCAGGGACTCATGTAGCAAGTGAGACTTTGTAGCTGGAGGCAGCAAGAGTAGAAGACTCCTCTTGATGAGGTCTAGAGGTGAGGGATCTTGGAATCCCAAAATCACAACATGCGGGTCCTGCCTGAAAGAATTCGACCTAAGCCTTCTTTCAGCCAAAAACAGGGTTTATTGAAGATTCACCATATTACCTATACTCTTAAGGAATCTGAGCATCTGTGGGCTATTGGCTAGATTGTGAAAATATGAGCAGTGGCTAGATTATAAGAATCC